GAATTATCCTAGCAACAACTCTGTCCTAGCAAGCACATTCCAAGAGTTACCAGCCTTGAGGAACTCCAGAACATCTCCAGTGAAACCAAACCTTTCCCACAGATGATGCCTTACCATGATGACCTGCCACTAATGGCTAAAAGTGAAAGCAGAATCACTCTTAATGTTTACTCACAAATGAAGATCAGAATGTACCAGGGGGTGTATGGATTTTACAGCATAAACTAGACACTTGTGAGACTGAAACTTGGTTTTGAACTAAATAACTTCGGGTTTTTTCACATCTCAGTGTTACAGTTGCAGTAGGGAGTTGAGAGACTATTGAGTTTTGAGTGTTTGGCTTTTTTTCCTATTGCTAACCTAACTCTAATCATGACTTTAAGTACCTTGCCAGTGCTGCCTTTGTTAGCACTCTTGTGAATATTTTTATGAGATGTAGCCTTGTGTTTAAGTGTATTAATTATTTAGTCACCTTAACCTATTTAAACCTTATGCCTTTTCTCCAACAAGTGCTAAAATATCTTATCCTGACAGGACTACTCCTTTAACTGCCTAGTGCATTACTTGAGAAGAAAAACAAAAAAAAAGCTTTTTTACACTTGCCAGGTTTTTTATTTTTCTGTCAAGGTTAACTGCTTTAAATGCTTCCTTCGTGGTTCATAAAAAGTTAGTTGCAGCATTTCTGGTAAAAGCACACAGCTCTGAAATGCTGAATTTGCACTTGGCAGGTAATTTTACAGGTAGTTCTTGTGCAAAGGAAACTGATGGATCAGTTTAGCCTTACTGCTTACATGAATATGACAAAAATGACTTTGTAAAGCCAAATCAAGTTTTCTGGTTCTGGAGTTTGCTAATGTTGATGTGTGAATACAGCACAGGGGGATGAGCTCCCCCAGAAGATCTGAAACTTAACACAAACTAAGACACTGATTTGTTATGAAATGTGTGTGGCTATAACATGGATGAAGTGTTTTGGTGTACACATGCCTTTGTAATGCCAGCTTGCACCACTTGAAAGCTTCAAAGAATTCAAATGTACCCAAATAACTGCATTTAGTGTTACAGGTTATTTTTGTATTTTTGTGTGTAAGATATTTGTAACTTGGGTTTGTGACTCCTCGTTGTTTAAGCATATCCATGTAGATATGTAGATATATTTACACTCTGAGAGAAGGAGAGGAGAGGATGATTTGTGCCTTTTTAAACATAGCCTAAAACTGTGCTCATCAATGTGTTCAGATATTCAGCTCTCATGTTGACTGCAGTAACTCAGTCCTACCAGTTTAGAATCCTTAAACTTGGGTTTTGTTGGAAGTGTCTGAGATCAAAGTTACTCAGCAAGGGAGAATTCAGGCTTCATAAAATTCAGCAAAGTTTACAGTTCCTCTTGTATGTATGAATATTCCTGCTTTGCTGTCCAGGTATACTGTGAATATGCTGGAGCTATTCAGATGTCAAGCATGTTTTAGAAGAAAACAAATATTATTATTATTATTATTATTGGTCTCTTTACAAGTTAGCCATAAAGAAGTCGCTTGGAAAATTCGGCTTCAACAATGAACAAATTTCTTTTACCTCTGAGTCCAGAATGCTCACTGATGTTTGGGAGGAAGTTTACATGCAAAGTAAGGAAGGATTGGTTGCCTTAATGCTCATTCTAGGTAAATATCTTTTATTCTGTAGTTTTCTAGATTTTTATCAGTAAATATTATTTATACAGATATGCGAATTAGATGGGGGAAATCACTCCTGCTGTTTTCCAGCTGGTTATGTAAACTGACCCTCAGAATCCTGTCCTGTTGAATTTTTCTCTCTGTAATGCAGTAATTGCCCATCAAGACCAGAAATTGGAATAGGCTACTCCACAGTTTTTACTTCTTGTTGAACAGCTGCCTCAATGAGTTTGTTTTAAAGCAAAACAGACCTTTTCACGTGGACCTCTTTGTTTGGAGGTCGGAGGGGAGTAAATCTCTAACCTATGCACTAATAAACTCATCCAGTGAGCCTGCTGTGTCTGCTTTGTGTCCCTGCTGTTCCTGGGGCCCAGGAATGTTCCAGAACTTTTGAACTGGCTTACATCAAACACAGGGTGAGGTGGCATCTTCTCTGCAGCTTCTCACCAAGAAAGGTGTGGAGATAATTATGGGGAAAACCATGGGGTGTGTTAATTTAAGCTGTGCCCATGGGGGAGATTTTTACAGAAATGTCAGTGTAAGAAACCCCCAGGCTGCAATGAGTGAGTGCTCTCTTCATACAGGAATAATCTGGGGCAGCTCCAGGGAGAGCCTGACAGCAGTGAGGCTTTTGGGGTTTTGCATTGGGAAAGTGGAAAGCGAAGCCTGTGGATTTCTCTCAGAGCGCCCTCCCAGCCCTGTGCACTGCGTGCTGCAGAACTCACTGCCATGGGAAGGCTCACAGTTAATTCCAGTTGTGCTCTTGCAGGCCTTCCCTGGGATTTTGGAGTTGGGCACAGCTCCAAAGCACAGCTCTGGGGTCTGGGCTATGTTTAGTGAGAGCAATGAAGCTCCAGTCCCCTCTGCAGCATCGGATGAGGGCTGCAAGCAAGGCAGCCTGGCTGAGCAGCCAGCAGGCTGAAGGGAGAAATACACACATTAAATATACCAACAAACTGCTTTTAATCTGAAAAGCTGCAAAAAACCCATTTCAAAACATCCTGGGTTTGAATCAGTTCATATGAGCACACGTTGCATTTGCAGCTCACACGCTTGCTCTGCTGCTGATTTTCCCTTTTGGCAATTTATTCAGAGTAGAGTTAGTGGGTAGAATCTCAGAGGAGAATAAAAGCCAGTGTTTTGAGAACTAATGAAGTAATTATCTAAAGCATTATTTACAATGATTATTTAGAAGATAATGAGACCCTTTAATTATGTTTGTTCTGCATAGCTGGCCGTTCAATAATTCAGGGTGTTGCCATACAATTTTCTCTGTTTACTTTGCACATTTTTTGTTTGGGAAAACGTCACAATTTGGTGCTGTGTGAGAAGCACAGCCTGGGCCCTCTTCTGGGCATTGTTTGTCACATGAAGATCACTGCTCCCCTGGCTGCACCCGGGGCTTCTGGGCTCAGAAGAAATGAAGGGGAAATGAAGCTGCACCTGTGAGAGGCTGCTCTGGCTTCATTCCTGCAAACTGGAATATTTCCACACACTCATTACTCCCCTGATGTTCCTGTCAGCATTTCTCTCACTGGAGCTGAAGCCTGACTTGCAGTTTTATTTTCATTTTGGGAGCCGTGATGGGGACGTTTCAAATGTGAGGCTTTTAAAAAGAGCTCGTTTGTGCAGGGGAAATTCAGGGCATCATTAACATTTCAGTAGCTAATAGCAATTTCACCGCAGCTGTGAACAGGCTGCTAAATACACAATTCTCCTGAAGCACAGGCAGCAGGGCCCAAGGAGTGGAGGGAGATCCTGCTGTGAGCTGTCAGCTCCTTTGGGTGCCTGCGGGGCTGGGCTGGGCTGCACATGCAGGTTTTGGAAAGCAAGATGTTTATCCTCACAACAAATCATCCACAATAAGGATTTGGTTCAGTGATTGTGTCTCCTGGCTTTCCCATGGGGCTTGCCTGGCCTGTTTTTATTCTTTATTCTATTATTATATTCATTTTTAATTATTAGTAATATATTTTATTATTATTCCTCATACCTGACATCACCATTTGTGGGGAACTGATGTTACTGTCCCAGTGCAACCATCCTAAACATCCATTGCTTAAATAATCACAGCTCCTTTTCATGTCCCCACGTTCCAAACCAGCCCCTGCCTCCTGAGCTGCCCACCAAGGGCTACGCTGATTTTAAATAAATTCATTTGCATGTGTGGAAGGTGCATTTAGATACTCCTACAGCGCAGAGCTATTTCTCACCACGGATTCACACAGTGAATGAGGCTATTCTTCAGTAGCCACTGATGGCAGGATTTAAAATAAATTCACCTGAAATTAGGTTCAGAACCACTGCAGGAACCACGGCAAGATGAGCAGTAGGGTTTAAAGGGCCCAGGAGAACAGGGAGAGAAGGGCAGGTGTGCCACAGAGAGAAGGGCACCTGTGCCATGGGGAGAGGGGGGGGTGTGTGCTGTGGAGAGAAGGGCAGGTGTGCCACAGAGAGAAGGGGGCACCTGTGCCATGGGGAGAGAAGGGCAGGTGTGCCATGGGGAGAGAAGGGCAGGTGTGCCATGGAGAGAAGGGCAGGTGTGCCACAGAGAGAAGGGGGCACCTGTGCCATGGGGAGAGAAGGGCAGGTGTGCCATGGGGAGAGAAGGGCACCTGTGCCATGGAGAGAAGGGGGCACCTGTGCCACAGAGAGAAGGGGGCACCTGTGCCATGGAGAGAAGGGCACGTGTGCCATGGAGAGAAGGGCAGGTGTGCCACAGAGAGAAGGGAACCTGTGCCATGGGGAGAGAAGGGCAGGTGTGCCGCAGAGAGAAGGGCACCTGTGCCATGGAGAGAGAAGGGCACCTGTGCCATGGTAGAGAAGGGCAGGTGTGCCGCAGAGAGAAGGGGGCACCCTCTCCATGGAGGGAAGGGCAGGTGTGCCATGGGGAGAGAAGGGCACCTGTGCCATGGAGAGAAGGGCAGGTGTGCCATGGAGAGAAGGGCAGGTGTGCCATGGAGAGAAGGGCAGGTGTGCCACAGGGAGAAGGGGGCACCTGTGCCATGGAGAGAGAAGGGGGCACCTGTGCCATGCAGAGCTGGCGGTCTGGGGCAGTTTGGGGTTCAGAACCCCTGCAATCCTGCTCCCCTCCAGCCCTGCTGCCCAGCAGCCTGGGGACAGCTCTGCCAGGCCCGGGCTGACAGCTGGGCACTCTTGTGCTCCCTTGACTTTGCAGCTATTTATAGAGAGATTCTGTCAGAGTTCCCATTTCTGCAGTTCCCCCTAATGGGGTTTTGGGCATGGTTTTTCTTCCAGTGTGAGGCAAATAAAACCGTGGAACAAACCAGCCTTAGAAGCAAAGCATCAACTCACAGGACAATAAAATGCAGCAAGTGTTGACATGTATTTTTAATCACAGCTAATATATTATGTTTTTAATCCCTAAAATAACAGAAATCACAATAAACTTCAGGCGAGATTTAAGAAAATAAAGGCAAAAATCTCAGTCTCCCTGCAATCCAGCTGGGTGCCCAAACCCGCACTAGAGCTGGGCTTAGGTTCCATATCTGCTTTCTGTGTTTTGCCTCCTCAGAGCAGGTTCATTGCTAAGGCAAGCATGTGCTGACAGAGTGACTCAGCCCTGTGGGCCAGGATGCTTTTCTTGGGTTTCCATGAGCATTCTTTTCATCCCACACAGACATAAATAAGTGCCCTTGATGGCTTCCCTACCATTTATACTCGAGAAGTGAATGTGGCACTATTTTAATTGCATTAAAAACCGTTTCTGTGCTTAAAGGAGAGCTGTTTCATTAACATCAAGCTCTGCCCTCACACCCAGCACCCCCAGTGCCTCAGCACAGTGCAGTAATGCACAGCAGAAAAAGGAAAGCTGAACTGAATTGCTGTAAATGGTCAGCAATTGGATAATTCTGAGATCTGACCAGAGCAAAGAACAAACTCCAAACTCCCCATCCCAAAAAGAATTTCTTGGTTGGTACTGCAGGGTTCACCTTCCCTCCAATGGGAGCTCCACACTCAATGGGACTGAGCCCATGCTGCTGGCCAAGCAGAGCCAGCCTGACTCACAGAGAGAGAGAAGCTGAAAATGAGGGTGGTGTGCCTGGAAAAAAGAGATCTCACTCGGTGTTTACCCTGTGGGAGCGGTCTTGGTTACACAAGATTAAATGTTATGTAAAGTGAGAGAGCAGCTGCTCTGCCAGCGCCTGCAGCCAGCTCGGAGTGAGGGGCAGGGGCATCTCAGGGGGCAGCAGGGGGGAACCAGCCCTGCTCAGTGTCCCTGAATTCAGGAGAGAGGAACCAGCCCTGCTGAGTGTCCCTGAGCCCAGCAGGGAGATCAGCATCCCTGGCCAGGAGAGGGGAACCAGCCCTGTTCAATGTGTCCCTGGGCAGGAGAGAGGCACCAGCCCTGCTCAGCATCCCTGGCCAGGAGAAAGGAGCGAGCCCTGGGCCAGGAGGGAGGAACCAGCCCCGTTCAGTGTCCCTGAATCCAGGAGAGAGGCACAAATTACACCAGTAACTCTTTTAGAGAGTGACGTTGAGAGTGTTAACCAGTGACAGGACTGGTTAACTGGACAGGACCCCATTACAACTTTTCTTCTTTACTCTTCTAATTGGAGTTATATACTCCTTGTATTGTAAGACACTAAATTTAAAATATTGGCCAGTTTGGGGCAGTGATCCCCCAACAACCACAAAAAAAAAAACCAAAACCAAAACCAAAACCAAAACCAAAAAACCCCCCGATGCTGATGTTGAATGCCTTCTGTGAAGATCCTGGACCATTTGTCTGCACGTGTGCCTTGTGAGGGGGGGATCAGCTTCTTTCCAAAGGCCTGAGCCTGAGGCTGGCAAGGAGGAAGGCAGCCCTGAGGACCAGCCCAGGATGGCTGGAGATGGAGGCACAGCCCCATCTGCCTGCAGAGAAATTGCTTTTCCCGTGGCTTTGGGGCCTCAGTGAGAGCCAGCTGTACCTGCTGTTGGCTGTGATTCATCTTTTCTGCTCACTAATGGATCCCCTCTCCAGAGCTTCCAGTGCTTCTCCCTTCGGTGGGTACAAACACGATAAAAAACGCTTTACAAAAATCAATGAACACTTAAGTGTTTGGCAGCTCAGCTTTTACTGCATCCTTTACTCACCAGTTTAATGCCTGATAGGAGAAAGGCACCAGTTAAATATTCCTCTGCAGAGTTAGCAGCTGTAACACACCTGGGGCTGGTTCTGCTGTTCTGACTCTGCATTCACAACAGAATCGGTTTTTCCCCTGCACAGAGCTGCGCTGGTGGAGCTCCCGAGGCAGGAGCCGCTTGTGCCCAAACCCTGTTCGGGACAGAAGTTTGTGTCACTGGAAATTTGGAGGTTTATTGCTTTAAAGATGGAGAGGGTGTGAGCTGGGGCAGCGGGCACAGCTGAGACCTGGGCACCTCGGGGAGCCCTGGGCTGGGCCGGGCTGAGCCGAGCCGAGCTGGGCTGAACTGAGCTGGGCTGGGCTGGGGCACAGAAACATCCCAGCACACAGCCCGGGCACGGCTTGGTGCCCCAGCGCCCGGGGAACGCAGCACTGGAGAGCCGCGGGCAGGCACGGCTCGGCTCGGCTCGGTTCAGTACGGATCGGCTTGGCACGGCTCAGCTTGGCACGGCTCAGCTTGGCACGGATCAGTTCAGCACGGATCGGTTCGGCACGGCTCAGCTCGGCACGGCTCAGCTCGGCACGGGCTGGCGGAGGGAGCCTCAGCAGCAGCAGCAGCAGCAGCAGCAGCGCTCTGTTGCCATCCAGTGGCAAATCCATCGGTGACCCCAGAGTCACCCAGCGTGGCTGGATGGAGGAAAGGAAAGGGAAAGAGAAAGGAAAAGAAAAGAAATTTTCTGCTTTTCTTTTCCTTGTGTCAGCCCCATCTCTGTACCGGTGATTGATCAGGCAGGATTGTCTCTTATTCACTTACAGCTGCAATGAAATGTCTGAGGAAGAAATCTTTCAAATAAAGCACTTACACTGTGATTTCTGATAGAATTTGAATTAAATTCTTCCCCTCAGACAAAGCTTTAGCAAGAATGACATGAAAAATGAGAAATGTATTTTCTCCTTACCGGGCTGTCAACCCTTCATCTCCATTGACGCTGTGATCCAATAACAGTGCTGCCATCACAAAACAATCCCCAGAACTCTGCCTCCACAGCAGAAAATGCTCCTTGTCAGTGCTAACTCTCAGCATCATCAAAACATCAACAAACAACCCAAAAGCATGAAAGATCTGGAGATCCAATGCTGCAAGGGGCGTGTGAAGAGCTCCAAAATTAGCTGGGAGACCTGAGGGTAGGCACAAATCCACACAAACTACCAAAATAATAATAAAATATTTATGATAATAAATCCTAACATCTTACAGTTCCAGTAAAATGTCAGTTCTTGTCTGCTGTGGCATAACAAGTTGCATATGTCAAATTTTTATGATTCAAATTGCTAAACATGTTCTTGAGATAAAGAATATGTTTTAAATCCTTCCTAGCAGTGACTCTATACTGGTAGTTTAAAAAACTACTTGCTATTTTACTTTCAGAGTGGCTTAATCAAATTTACTCATATAATTTTGCATATGTTTAAAAGAAGGCTTTCAGAAAGTTTATGATAATTTACATATTTTATCCCTGTGTGCTCCCACACCCCCCTGTACAGATATTCATGTTTTAAACCCACCATGACAGGGAAGGAGCAGAGCTGGTTTGGCTCAGTTTAACACGTCAATAACTCCATTTTACAGTGACCTGAGAGACTTTCAGGGTCAGGTTGGCCTGGTGCATTTTTGTTTTGTTTGTACAAATGCACGCAGAGGAGCAGCCACACTCAAGCCCCGTCTGCAGAATGTGCCAGAATATTCTGGTGCAGCTGCAGGTCTGAGCTGGGGCTGGAGCACAGCGAGCTCAGTGCTGGTGCTGTCAGAGGGAACATTGCAGCTTGAAATGCAGCTCTGCTGAGGGGAAAATCTGACTAGCCAAAATTAGACTAAAAAAACCCAAAAAAGCAAGCCATTTATGGCATGAAGTGGTTCTAAAAGTAAGAGTGCCTTGCCTGATGATCAGAGCCATAATCTAATGTGGGAATGAGCACAGGAGCCTGGCTGGGAGCAGCTCTCCCCTCAGAAAATGGCAGAGTTGTGTTGTTCTGCTGCAGTGATGGGGGAGCTCAGGGAAGGTCCTTTGGGGCTGGGGGCTGCACAACAGAGGGTCTGGGGACCTTGCTTTGAGGTTCTGGAGCTCTCACTCAGAATGTTCTGGTCTCTCTGCACGGTGCCAGCGCAGATCTGCAGGAAGGCAGCACAGACTGTCTGTGAACCTTCTCCTCACCTGCTCCTCCTGAACGGCACCAGGCTCAGAGCTCAGAGCTCACATCTGGGCGTTTCACCCACACAGCGAGGGCAGGATTGCAGCAGCAGCCTTGCCCTGCAGGTCACACCGTGCCCCCCATTGAACCCCAAACCCCTGAGGAGAAACGGGCTCCATGTAAATGGGGGTGGTCTGGGAGCCTTGGGGGCTTAGATAGGATGGGTGGGAGCAGAAATCCTGACAAGGCCAGGAGGGAGAGATTCCCAGCTGCTCAGTGACCATCAGGGGTTCACACTGGGCTGGAAACGCAGGTGACACAGAACCTGGGACAGAGATCATCTGAGAGTTCCCTCTTCCATGGCTCCTCATTCCTTCCAGAGAGGCATCAGGTGCTGCAGTTCTGGAGAGCAGGGCATTCCCCATGCACTCCAACGTCAGAGAGAAGCATTGGGCTTGGGGGGAAATCTGCCTGCTTTTGTCAAGGCCAAACTTCTCCGAAAATTCTCCTGCTCTTCCTCATAATGCCTGTGGGTAAAACCATGGGAGGAAGGCTGGTGTCTGAGAAGGAACTGTAGGAAAGGCAGCATTGAATTGAGGGATGTGGTTTTTTTGGACACTTTAGCAGAATTCAATAAAATAGTGCCTTGAGAGTGCAATATTTCCTTCCTCTGTAAAATACTAAAAGGGAAATACAGAAATACCACTCAATATAATTCACATGTTTTCTCGATGATTTAACCTTCATCAGCCTGGGGAATTCAGTTGTGCTGTAGTGAATGCACTCCCAAAGTGATCAGATTCTGTCACTCAGATCACCTGTGCTCAGGAGAAACCAGGAGCAAGAAACAATGAGAAAAACGACTGAATCTGGGTTTCTAAACTTTGATTTACTGACAATCTTTCCCCGTATCCCCTTGGCGCGTGGCCCTGTGCCTGCTGGGGAGGTGTCGCTGCCCCTCGGGAGCTCTGTGGGGCCGCGGTGCCCCCCGTTATCCCAGGAAGCGGAGCGCGGGCGGAACGCTGGGATGCTCCAGGTAATCCGCCTTAATTCCCTTCCGCACCGGCGCCGCCGCGCCTCCATCGGGCGGGCGGGGCGCGGCGAGCCCGGGGCCGGGCTGGCATGTTGGGTCCATCGCTCCGTGCCAGCAGGCCAGAGCCGAGCCGGCGGCGGCGGCCCCAGCGCTAGCGCAGCCCCGGCCCTGCCGCAGCCGCTCCGGGCGCGGCCCGGCCCGGCCCGGGCCATGTGAGCACCGCGGGCCCGCCAGAGCCATCTTGGGGGCTGCGGGAGCCTCCCCATCACAGGCTCCGGGGCCGGCACGGCCGTGATGCTCGCTCGGCTCCGCGCCTGCCCGCCCGCGGCGCGCCCGTGAAGCGCCGGCCCCGAGCGCCGAGCAGCGAACACCGAGCGCCGCCGGAGCTGCGGCTGCTGCCGGACCGGAGCTGCTGCCGGCACCGAGCTGCTGCTGCCGGCACCGAGCTGCTGCTGCCGGCACCGGGGGTGCTGCTGCCGACACCGGAGCCGCTGCTGCCGACACCCGAGCTGCTGTTACCGACACCGGAGCTGCGGCTGCACCCACAGCTTGAGCTCCTGCCCGGCCCCGGAGCTGCTCCGACCTCGGGAGCTGCGGCTGCTGCGGACACGGGAGCTCCCCCGACACGGGAGCTGCTGTTACCGACACCGGAGCCGCTGCCGGCCCCGCTCCGCTCCCGCAGGATCCCGCTCGCCCTCGGCCCCGCCTGAGCGCAGGTACGCGGGGAGCGCTCCCGGGAACGGCCGCGGTGCTCCGGGGCCGCGGGGATGGGATGGGATGGAGATGGCGATGGGATGGGATGGGGATGCGGATGCGTGTGCGGGGGGACAGTCCCCTTCCGGCATCGGTAACTGGGATCGCAGGCAGGCAAACTTTATTATTCTGCAGCATTTTCGGCGATGCCCTTCACTGCATCGTCCCTGCTAGGTGCTGCTCTGAATAATAAAATGTGCATCGTGCACGAACGCTAGGTAAAGGGATTAAACTCTTGCTAGATTATTCCATCCTCCCTGCGACTGATGTTTAATCTGATGTCATTTCCCAGTCGCTTTTAGGGTTTCCGATGGAACAAAAGCCATTTTGGGCGGTCTGATGGCCGTGTTTCTGCTCTGCTCCGTTGGTGCCCGTGGGCAGAGCTGGCGGTGCCTGTCCCTGTCCCCAGCCCCGGGCACGGGGCTGCTCCCCGGTTTTTGTGTTTGCTTTGCCAGTGTGGATTGTGGTGTCACGGCAAAGTCATCGCGGCCGCTGCTCCGCACAGCCGCTGTCCCTGCGAATACGTGCGGTTTGTCTGGCATCTGGGGCTAAACCAGCCCGATTGCAAGGAAATAGCTCATCCTTTGCCACCGAACGGCGATATGGGCACACAGGCACGGACAGACACACGGGCACTACGGACAGCAGGGCTGGGGCTGTCTGCTCTGCACACCAGCACGTACAACACAATAATACCGTTTATTATTGCCCATTTCCCTAAACGTCGGTGCATTCGCGTGCGGCGGTGTGCTGTGCTCAGCGTTATGGGGCACTGTAGGGTTTATTATTATTATTATTATTATTATTATTATTATTATTATTATTATTATTATTATTATTATTTATTACCCTCTCCCCACCCTGGCCCTGCCGGGCTCGGGGGTGTGTCTGTGCCACCACGATGTGATGGGCGACATTACAGCTGTGCTCGGCCTCGGTGCAGCTGTGGCCGAGCAGAACCTCAGGGCACATCACAGCTTCCTTTTTTCTTTTTTAATCTACTACTGCCTGGTTCTTTAGTGTAAAACACTGCCTGGGCTGTTCTGTGCAGTGCAGGTCGTGATGCAGGGTTTGTACACAAAATAACTCAGCAGAATAACTTATTAGTGAGCCTTGGCACTGCATCTGGTAAATACAGAGTCTGCTTCTTAAGGGACTGTAAATATTTTAAAGAAATACCTTAATTCAAAGCCAGTGGTTGTAACATTAGGAATTGCACCAAGTATTCTGTGACAGGGGATGAATATCATGATTGATATCATCCAAATAAAAATAAGGAATACGGCTTGGCAGGATAGAACAGGGCCTAAAGAAAACAGCATGAAATACTGAAACGCAGACCAATACTGTGTTTCAGAAATACTGAAACACAAACCAAGCAGCAGAGGGGAAGATACAGCATCCCCATAAAGCCAATAGGATAAAAATATCAGGATGTGGCACTGATAGGAAAGTTGCTGTAGTCACTTTGTATTTTGGTGGTTTTGATGGGGAGGTGTTACATTTTTATTCGAGGAGGGCTGTGTACCCAGCTGACAAATGAAGAAGGTAATTCAGATGAAATGTTCCAGATGTCAGCCAGGACTCAGCACTGTAGACAGCCTTTGAAGCACATTTGTGCTACTTCTAGTACCTTAAAGGAGGTTGCGGTTTTTTAGGTGCCTCTTTGTTGTTCCTTTTTGATCTGATGGCCCTGGTCAGTGGCTCTGTGCAGACTGTTTTATTTTTAAAAGTGGAAAGACCGGCTCTAAATGAAGCCAGTGACGAGGCCCTGCTGTCTGCAGGCTGGAGAGCAGCCCTGATTTTCCCTGCTCGGGTGCCTGAATGGGCTCCAGCCTGCCAGAATACAGCATGAGTGCATGCTGCAGGCACAGAGCACAGGGGCTCTGCTATTACACCCAGCTTGATGCATTTGTCTCTGCCTGGTGCACCTTTCTGAGACAGGCAGCGTGTTGAAATTTCTGGAATTAAAACCAAGTGACAGCTCTAAAACAGCACGTGGGGTTTAGGGGTAGGAAAAGTGAGGTGGAACAAAATGTTGGGCAGGGCAGTGCCACAGATTTCTGCATGGAAATGGAGAAGTTTCTGCATGGAAATGGAGAAGTTTCTGCATGGAAATGGAGAAATTTCTGCATGAAAATGGAGAAACTACAGCAGCTAAATGCTACTTAATTAACTGACAACTGCAAGCTCAGAAACCTGAAGCATCTCTCCATAGATGTGACAAGTCCCATGCCTGTACAAGCTGTGGATGTATTTCTGCCTCTGCCCAAACAAATCTGTCCATCCATACGTGTCCATCCATTGTGTGACACTGAGCCTTAAATCAATATTCCAGCACTCCTGTAACAAAACCCTGAGCCTTTCTGGGCTGCCACAAGAGGAATGAGCAGCCTGTGATCAGTGGGTAATTAACATCCTCGGGGATTAGGGGGGTTCCTTTCTGTGCAAACGCCCCAGCACAGATCAGAGTTAAATGTCCAAAATCTGACTGTGCTCTGTGAAGAGAAGCTGGCTGGGCATGTCCTTCCTCTCAGCATTCCTGTTGAATGCAGCGTGGTTTGACAGTCAAGGCTGTTTGTCATTTCACTGAAAGTGTTTCAGGCCCTCCTCACTGCTAGGAGATATGTCACAGCAGCTGAAGTGCCTGTTAGTCACGACTTTTCTGGGACTTATTTTTGGGTTATTATTCAGCAAAAGGTTCTGACTAACTGGAATTCTGTGTAGATGCTTTGTTTCCCCCTGTCACAGCCTGTGCATCCCATTCTGATAGCATGTCAGGCTGTGCAGACACCAGCTCCTCTCTGTGTTTGGAAAGCCTCTGTGCACAGGACCAAGGAGCTGAAATCTGTTCAGGTTTTGGCCAGCACCTGTGATTCCTGTGACTCTTGGTGCTCTGTGTTGATGCCTGCCCAGCACAGATGAGGATTGTCACAGAGTGCTGCTGACAGCAGCATTTCCTCTGTTAGAGCAGCACTTGCTGCTAGAATTGAAGAATATATCCCAATATCAGGAATAAAAATAGAGCTGGAGTGTAGCCACAGCACTGGGGAAATGCAGCTGCTCCCAAGCACGGTGCCATGGACCCAGTTGGGCTCTGTGCTGGGGAAAAGCTCCAGCCAGGGGCTCTGGGCAGGGCAGGGATGGTCAGGGATGGAGAGAAGGGCTCTGGGCAGGGCAGGAGTGCTCAGCTGTCACAGACATCTTTTATGGAAAATCCTTTCCTTAGGATTTTCCCTCCTGAGAAGCTGAGAGGCCTCAGGAACAAATGTAAACATTGGTTATCTGCTGCTGTGGAATGCAACAGGTGCATCTGGGATTGGGCTCATGTGGTTTTTTCTAATTAATGGCCAATCACAGCTGGCTCAGACTCTGGTCAGTCACAAGCCTTTGTTATTCATTCTTTTTCTATTCTTATCCAGCCTTCTGATGAAACCTTTTCTTCTATTCCTTTAGTGTAGTTTCAGTGTAATATATAACATAAAATAATAAATCAGCCTTGTGATACATGGAGTCAGATCCTCATCCCTTCCCTCATCCTCAGACCCCTGTGAACATGGTCACACTCAGTGATGGAGAAAAGAGCTTGAGCCGGGCTCTGAGGGGCTCTGGGCAGGGCAGGGGGGCTCAGAGATGGAGAAAAGAGCTCCAGAAAAGGTTCTGTGAATGGCCCTGAGCAAAGCATTCAGCATCTCCTGGGCTCTGTTCTCCTCCTGTAAGTGGGAATAATACTGAACTCTTTACACTACATTCTGTTTATTTTATCTGCTCAGGAAATGAGATTTTCAGACCAAATACTGTTTTCTCCATCAGGATGCTGAATCCCAGCAGAGGCTTCTAGATGCTACTTATAAATCACTTGACAGCCTGCACTGTGTGCTGCTGATCTATGGAAGAATACTGCTGAGTGCCAGAAGAATCTGCATTTGTTCTGATGTTTCTGGAGTACATTTGGTTAGCTCTGTGCTGCTGGTGGGGATGTCCAGTGGGAGTGAGGAGCCTCATTCCCCTGCTGGTGGCTGTGGTGTGGGGGAGGCATTTACAGTGCAGTGCCAGGACACAGGGAATGGGACTGGGGGGTGATTTTTGATTTTTAAAATATATAATTGTGATAAAGTTTATTTTCTGCCGCACGCAGGGCTGGTTTGTGGAGCAGCAGGCATTGCTGTGCCCAGGGCTGATCAGCAGCAGGGCAGGCTGTTCCTGTGAACCAGAGGGAGGCACTGAGAGAATCACAGCCTGGCACAGATTCCCTGCTCCCATCTCAGGCAATCAGAACCTTCTCCAGTTTTCCTTTGGGGACCACCCTGCGCCAGCCCCTCTTCCTCAGGGTGTGAATACAGGGAGCTGCTGGGAGCCCGTCAATGCACCCCTTGCCTCCCATAGAACTGGACTGATTTATTTTCTTTCACTGAGGAGCATCAGTCATTTATATAGATGGCCTCATCGAGTTTTTACACTGGATGTGTGATGGAAAAAATTACAATTAGACCCCAACTCTTGCCAGTTTCGAAAGAAAAAGAAGCCTTTCTTGAGGCAGGTTAACTTGTTTAGCGTCGGCTTAGAAAAATCCTACATCTAGGCTGAATTCCTCCAGAGCAGGGCATTTATTCTGGGACTTCACCTTTCCAGCTCCTGCTGAGTATTTCTGTACCTCCTTCTCACAGAGCTGAAAAATGCTCTTGGTTATTCCTGTATGGGACACCACGGTGCCTTTTGGCCTGTATGGAAAACCATGGTTCCTCCTGTGTGGAAAACCATGGCAAGTGCAGTGAGAGCCCTGCCCCTCACTGTGAGGGGTCTGTGGTGTCCATCAGGCAGGATTTGCACAGATCTGTGCCAGTGGGGAAACACAGCACAGGGACATCCCCACTGGGCATGGGCTGGGGCTGGCACTGCCCGGGGAGGGATGGAGCTGGGTCAGGCTCAGGGTTAGGGTCATGGTCCGGGTTAGGGTCAGGGTTAGGGTCAAGCTCAGGGTTAGGGTTTGGGGGCTGCTGGTGCTCAGAGTCCAGGGCAAGGCGCTCTCAGCTGTCCCTGTCACAGCCCTGCAGGGCTGGTTCTGCCCCCTGTGCCCTGCATTTCCCTGTGGCACTCCCCATTGCCCCTCCTGGCACAGCCTGCTCGCTGCCCTCCCC